TGCCTGGGGCTTCTGGGCAGCCCCCCGGGGACCACAAGCCAGCCTGGCTCAGCCCCGGATCTCAGTGTCCCCAAAGTCACCATCTTGGTTGAAATGGCTTCAGTCAAATTCCCATATATTATTTAGGTTCTTTGGGTGCGTGCCCTTCGGTCCATGTTTATGGTGGTACACAAGAAAGCAAAGAGCAGACAAGCCATGTCTCTTTATTGCTACAAAGTGGGTTCATCCAGCAGGCAAGACAGAGGCATGACGTGCCACCACCAAAAAGCCTGCCTTTAACACCCTTTTGCTCTTCAAGCAAGCTAATTCACACAGCAATTAATCAACTATATATGGCACACACAACCCCACAACAAAACGAGAGCGTCTTCGCCTGGTTGAACATGACTTCCTCTGCTCTTGCCTGGCTGCAATGTTACATCAGGGCTATTTTGCTTAATCTTTGCTTGTGCACGTGTAGTAACTATTTAAAGTCCTGATGACTTGTCTTGCAAAGTGTCAGTCTGCTGCAAGTGCCAGAGTTGCTTTTGCTTTTGAAAGGTGCCATCACATCATGCAATCCTAAAGGTTATTGCTCTGCTTCCTAATTAGCAAAAAAAACCCCAACCGTTAGCACCGGCGCCGGCTGATTCAGACACAACTTCCCTCCTTGGACGCGCTTGCTGGGTTGCCTGAAAGCTGTGGCCAAGCTGCTCCTGGGATGGGGCCAGGTGGAGGGGACCTGATGTGGGGAAGGGACCTGGCCAGGTGTGCGGCTGTGCTGTCCCCTGCTTCCATGTCCTTGCATGCCAGTATGCTCTGTGCTGGGGATGTTGCATGGCTGCAGTGGTGAGCATCAGGGTTTGCTCCACTCTGTGGACAGGTCCAGGTTCCCCCATCACGGACCAGCCCCTGTGCTCAGGAAGACCCAGCATACCCTTTGCAGGTGTGGGGCTGGGCTGTGGGGCCCCTTAGTGCTCTGCTGAAGCACATCAGCTGGGGGGAAATGGCCACCACCACTGCCTCCCCTTGCCTGTGTGATGCCCGAGCATCCCTGGGCATGGCTGGGAAGGGCCTGGGCAGCCCATGGGCAGGGGACTGCGAGAGGGAGGGGGGTTGTTCACATGGATGGGACATCCTGGGCAAGGCTGCAGCAGGGTTGAAGCGGAGGCGGTGCAGTGTGCAGGTGCTGCAAGGGAAGGCAGAAGGTGCTGGTGAGGTGCTGCCCAGCCTTCCCCACACGCAGCGGGGCTGGGAAGACACCTGACACAGGGGATTCCCCCATCTTGCCCCTTTGCTGCCCCACAGCTTGTGGGGGGAGGGTGTCACTTGAGCTACTGCAGTCCAGGGGCTCCCATGGCAGTGAATGGATGGAGGCAGGCTCCATCCACACAGGGATGTGCCTGCATCTGCACGTAGAGCCTGGCGTGGGCACACTCACCGCAGCAGTGCTGGGGTCGGAGGCCATCATCACATGAAAGGGGAGCTCGGCCCCGCTGCCTTCTCGCAGATCCAGAGGTGCAGGTCGTTGGGACCAGCGCACTGGGCGGGTTTGATGTTCCCGCGGCTTATTATGGCACAGGACCCGTTCGACTTTGACTGCCACGGCCTGGAGGGGGAAATGACACATCAGGGGGCTGCCACCACCCTATCTATAACCACCTTCTGCCCAGGCAGCCGGGGCCACTGATGGATTCTCTCTTGCACATTCAAACAGGAGCAGCTGAACACTGCAGTTGAAAGGGGATCCCCCAGTCCTCCCCTACTGATTTCACAGGCTGAACCCTCAGCCGACTCATCCCTGTCTTCCCTCGGGCAGGCTGAGAAACCCCTCTGCCCAAGGTGTGCGTTGCTCACGACTCCCCTTAGCCTCCCTTGACTCTCAGCCTTGTTGCTGGGGGATATTTCATCCCTGCAGTGCCTGGCAGTGAGGAGAGCCTGGTCCTCCCCGAGGGCACGTGGATGGTTGGAGGAGCTGCCCTGGGCCGTGGGGCCGCAGTGGGGTACAGCCCCCCATGGCGGGGCTCAGGATGGAGGGGCGGGCAGCAGGCAGGGGCTGGGCAACCCGCACCCGGCCAGAAAGGGCTGTT